TAGTACTCGCCTACGCACATCATCGTTGCGGACACGCTGGTGCCATCCGACACCAGCAATGCTTCGCAAACAACGATGATCAAAGACTTGAAGGCGCCTCAGATCTTCAGACCGAAGGGGCCAAGTTTCACTACCATAGAGCAGAACGGCCCTCACTGTGGCCTTGTATACACGGCCTTTCAGACGGAGGGAAACTCCCTTCTGTCGCCAAAGATGACGCAGGTTCAAGAAGGCAGCTCTGGCTTTTGCAATGCGTGAGCTCACGTCAGTTTCTATGCGCCCATCATTGCTGATGCAGCTGCCAAGGTAAGTGAATTGATCAACCACTTCGAGTTCCTCGTTAGCAAGCGTCAAGGGGTCATCAAGTGGCTGGTGGTCCTGCAGCAACACTTGGCACTTTGAAGGTGCGAAGTGCATACCAAATAATGGGACCACTCTGGATAGGCTATTCAGGGTTGATTGTGCCGCCTCAACATTGTCGAAAAGCAAGACGATATCGTCCGCATAATCTAGATCAACTAACCGTTCACCAGGCAGCACTTCAACGGCTACATCTTGAGATTCCGCAAGGGAACACTCCATGATAGAATCCACGACGAAATTGAACAAAAATGGGGAAATCGGGCAACCCTGACGAACGCCACTTGTAGTCGAAAAGCTATCCGATAGGGCACCATAGACCCTGACGCGGCCACTAGTGTTCGAGTATAGAGCACGAAGCATGTTCACATATTTCGTGGGAACACCTTTCCGCGCAAGTATTTCGAACAGAATCGATCGATCGACTGAATCGAACGCACTCTTGAAATCGAGGAACACAGCTATTGTCGGTCTGCGGTATGCGTGGCGCTGCTCTAGCACCTGCTGCAAAGTAAATATATGATCTATACAGCCACGTCCTGGGCGGAAACCGGCCTGCTCTTCTCTAATCCGAGATTCCCGTTCTGCAGTGAGGCGACGAACGATAATCGAGACCAGTAGTTTTGTCACAACTGGCGTTAGGCTAATACCCCTGTGGTTCGCACAGTCTGTGCGACTGTCCTTCTTGTATATTGCCACTATAATCGATTCGCTCCAATTAGCCGGCACACTCTCTTCGTTCCAGATACGTTCGAATAGGGAGGTCAGTGTTTGCAGAGGACCTCACCTCCATCCTTAAATAGTGCAGGTGGAAGGGAATCCGGGCCAGCGGCACGAAAACGATTGAGGGCTGTGATCGCGTTTCCGACCTCGGCCTCCGACGGAGGCTCTAAACTAACCGTCCATGGCTCGTCCTGCATCACCTGAGTAGGAAGAGGTCCGGGAGCAGGAGGCCAGCTGAACTGATCTTGAAAGTGTTCCGCCCAACGAGCCATACGGCGCTTCTTATTGTGTATCAGCGCACCCGCGCCCTCTGATTGTCTCACTGACGCCTGGTTTTCTCGGACCAGTGGTGCGTAATAGCCGGAAGAGCTTCCGGTAATTGCCTACTGCTCCTGCCTCCTCCATTTCTTGAGCCCGACTGGTCCACCAGGCTTCCTTGTCAGCACGTAGGCTCTGCTTTAGTTCACGCCTAATAGCCCGTCTGGTCACATTGTGTGCAGAACCAGCCGGGAGGTGCCTTCTAGCTTCCAAGAGGTTCACGGACCTCTCGGATATCCAGTGACTGGTGCGATGACGACTGATAGTGCCACAAGCAGATGCTCCTGCGTCGTGCATAGTGGCCGAGATCCTATTCCACTGAAGTTCAGTATCATTAGGACAAGACAGCGAGAGTTCGCTATGCAGTGCTTCTTGATAGGCTTGCCTGACAGAGGGCTGGGACAATTTCTCCGTTGTCAATCGGGGGAGACGCTTTGTGCGCCTTCCGGTAAAGTTCATGGAGAAACGACAGCGCACCAAGGCATGGTCAGAGTCGACACAGGTACTCCAGTACGAACGGCAATCCAGAATGGAACCGCGCCAACTGTAACTTAGGGCTATGTGGTCAATTTGGGTCCATCGCTGACCAGCTACAGGTGGACGCCAAGTGGCACTTCGGCGCCCACTGTGTCTAAAAGCAGTGCTAGTAAGAAACAACTGGTGCTCCGCACACAGTTGCAGCAGACGCTCGCCGTTGTCAGTCCGTTCGGCGTTAAGTCCATACTTACCACCCAGCTGAGCTTCTGAAGAGCTCAGACGCCCTACTTGTGCGTTCATATCCCCTGCAAGTACTATAATATCTGAACTAGTAGCACTGCGTAGTAGGGCGTTCAGTTCGTGATAGAAAGTGTCCTTGACTGCATTAGAACTGCAGTCCGTGGGAGCATAAGCAGAAATTACAAACAAACAGCGTTTTGTTTTACTTCGCGAATTCACCTTAGCTGATGTCGTCAAACGGGCTGCACATAAACGGCTGTTCACCGGAATCCAATCAACCAACGATGGCTCAGCCTTGGAGCTGAGAATGATACCTACACCAGCTTGACCCGTGAGTGCCGCATCGGCGTCTCCGGATGCTTGCAACCAATAACGAGAGGATAAGCCAGGTGCAGTCAATTCAATAACCCCGTTAGGGTCATTAATCCTAGTTTCGGACACACAGCACACATCAATACCCAGTATGTCCAATGTGCGTGCGAGTGCGGCCGACTGACCTGTTTGTCTTAGAGTGCGGACGTTGAATGTCGCCATGGAAACGGGACAGCGTGGTCTTATAAGGGACTTTTGCCGATAGGTGCTGTGGGATGGTGGCTGCAGATGATTCTACTCTAGTGGCATTTCGGTTGCTGTCAATTAAGCTGGGAATTATAGGAGGAAGGTTAGTAATGGGGGCCGGGATGGGAGTAAGAGAAAAAGGTGAAAAGAAAAAAGGGAGGCGCCAGCAGTAGCATGTTTTCGCTTATCCGCCCTGCTGTATGCAGCAGATAAGGCGACCCTTGATAATCTGCGCGACGGCCGATGCAGGATGAAGTTTATGTTTGAAGAAAATGTCATGGTTGTATGTGGGCTGGGATACTGCCAGGGAGCCCAGAACTAGACAGGAGAACGATTAAGGTTCTCATCCAAAGCTTTTGGCTCAAAAGCCTGTCCGCAAGGCAGCGGGGTGGCAGTGATTTAGTTTTACAGAAATGGACGCCATCCCATTTCAAACCCCCAACCTGGAACACCAGGAGACTGAGTTTCTCTGACCTCTCACCATTGACCAACCTGGTAGGAGTAGCTCTCCAGATGCTCAGAGGCATCACCCAGTATAGCTCAATGGGTCAATGAGGTACGCAAACCGTCGCACCACGTTAAGGTCCAGTCTCGTTGCGACGGCGAGTTGGTGATCACAATGTAGAGTAAGAGTGTCTGACGAAGGTAGCGCCATTCCTCCAAATGATGCGCCCGAACTTTACCATAATCAGAGGATTGAAGTTCCGATACACCTGAATAGAGATCCACTTTTCGTTGATCCGATTGTGTTAGTCATCAGGTATCTGTTTTGTTGGCTGACGCTCGCCCCAAGGGACGTCGGAGAAAATCAGAGCGCCGCATCAGTCAGTCCGAAGACAAATGGCTGATAAAAGAACCGTCTCAACATCGTTTGCTTATTGTAGCATCACTCTTAACAGCCGTGGTTCCGCGCAAAAGGGTCGAGTTTGGGTGCCGTGCGAAGCGCATCATGCTAGTCGGTTTATCTTGGACGCCCATTAGAACATATGGAATCTCATTATTTTCAGTCGTCCAGCAGCTTATCTTTTATGTAGTTCGCGTTAGGCTCAGGAACACTGGAACATACAATCGTCAGCGACTCTTGGACTCGTCTAGAATTAATCGGTTTGCGATGAAATCGGATCTGAGTTTTGGGTGAAGTGATGGGTGCACGTGTGGAACTTCTGGCTCCCTTTAGGTGTAACCATAGAATCCGCTCTTATTTCTTGAAAGACAGCAACCAACGCGTAGGTAATCACGCCTTCAGCGGGCGCACGTGTGTTCCGATGTGCCAGTAAAGCTTGTTCCACAATTTGTTCTCATTCAATATCCATTGGGCCAAGATGGGAGTCGCCGTAGCAGGTCGAACTAGGTTGTTCGCTTAGTTTCGGATTGGACTTGTCCATGTAGCTAGCTTCAAAGTTTTATCATTACCTCTGGAAAGGCTACTAGGTTCAGCTTTGGTGCCGTGGACACCAAGCCCGGCTGAGACGGAATTCGAAGGGTAACATTTACTAAGTCCAGATTCCTCGACCATCGAAGATGGGTTATCGCATTTCTATGCCAAAATAGCTATACAGCTAACAAGTCGGACGGCCATGAAATCAAAGTAAAACCAGAAGAGGCTTATTTTATTGTTCATCGCAGGTAAACGATTGAACCAGGCGTGCTAATATCTGCTGCATCGAGAACACAAGATACCATATCGAACCGTTTTCCTACAGCCGCGAATGGTACTCGGCTGTGTCGCTCTAGGCTTCGTCATGAGATGGACTTCGTTTCGCGTCATGTTGTGAAGCGAATCAAGAATACGAAATATTTATCATACTTTGTGCAAAATTGTGATGCAGTAGTGATGCTTCGCGACGTTTAGTACTTGCATGATTCTAGTCCTTTAATGTAAGCGTTCGCACGAGCGACTAAGTCCTGGAAGGAGGCAGAGGGGGATAACCCAGCTTCTTCTGTCAACACACTCAGATTAAAAGTTGACCGGGAATTTAGTGGCTATGTGGATTGAAGTCCTCACCAGAATGCCCCAATTGAGACCGCAAGGCAATCAAAGTTACTCTAGTAGATATTCCTTATTCTACATTCATGTATTGCTATTCTGATGTGAATTCTTAAAAACGCTTTTTGAAATAGGCCTATACGCAACCAATTCAACTGTCAAATGGGAAGACAAGTAATTCATCGTTAACCAGATCTAACTTTCATCAGGGTGCCTCCTCCTGCTTAGCACTCCGTCCTAGAAGTACCTGACTGACTGACATAAAAATCCAACGGTTCTCTTGGATGTTTTATGCAAGAAAAGAATGCCCAATTTAATCAGGGCGCAAGGAACTCACTTCATCCCAATTATAGTTCTGATTCACAAAATCGTAAACGAAGCGCCGTTCGCTCTCCACATCCATGCAATCTTCCTGTCCAATTTGACGCAAGATCTGGCGTATTAGACCATTCTTTTCTGAATAATCGTATCTTTTCTCCTCTTTATTATAACCCACGTGCTCAATGTGTCGGAAGTCGGAAGGGGCACTGATGTCACTTGGAGTCAGTTTAGTCTGAGAGAGAAAGAAGGGAAACACGAGAAGTTGGTTAAGTATCGCCCAAGAAAGATAAATAGACATAAATGCAGACAGAAGCGTTTGCATACATACGAATGCCAGAGAACATCCACTGGATTATACGTAACCCCCAGAAAATGTGAGCCATGCATCAGTAGCGACACACGTCTACTGCCTCATTCCTTTCATAGTGCAGTGTCCATGTGTCCGATATATAAGGTCAAAGTGTATGCAAGCGGCGTCTCACACTGCTCATGATCCATCCTTATTCGAACATTGCACCATCACCGAAGATGAGTGAAGGCACACCATCATATCCGCGCAATGAATATATTACGGTAGCCTGGTCATCGGACGTAATAAATTTCCCGAAAAACTATATCCATTGACTGCTCGGCAATTGTAAAAACGACAATATTTGGAGCCAACCCGTAACGGCAGTTGTTGTGGCGCGAATCATAGCAACGTGATAATTATCATTGTAAAGTCCAAAGGAATTTTAATCTTTTTATATTTAAATCGGACCACTTCTATTCGAACACTTACCAGGATCAGTCCCCCCCCCCATTTTCACCAGTCTATCGTGTGTTCCATAAGCAACATTTTCTAGCACTAAAAGAAATTCAGTAAGCTCAGTGGTTCACATTTCATGTTTCCAAGTCTAATCGTTCTGTATCAGTCAGTTTGCCGGTAATTGCACCTTCGCATTGCATCGCCTCCGCCCAATTCCTACACGTCCCAACCCTAGTCGTTACATTACTTGGCATTCTAGGGCCAGGATCGCAGGAGAAAATTATGGTACTCGGGCGATACGTAGCCCTATACGCTTTGCACCTTGAAAGTGCAAAGTTCTATTGCATGACGGGACGGTCACATCGCCACACTGCCACCGGATACCTAGAAACAAAACTACTGGCATTAGAAACTCCATGCTAGCATTGTTAGATCTGATCGAAAACAAATAGTATTTGCTCAAAACTCATGGTATTCACTAATGGGATAATCTAAGGTGGCGAACTGAATTCCATGCTTTTGTATGTACACCAGTGACATATATGAAAAATGAGATAGGGAACTACTGATGACATGCAAATCATCTGCTCATTCAATAGGAATGATTCGTGCGAGGCACTTCAAAGTATTCGGAATGACCTTACATCCCCAATATCCTGGTGTGGGGAATGGGCTTGGCTTCAGACAAGCGCAAAATCCTTTCTAATGGATGCCACATTCCATTTAAAGGACTAAAATTTGCGCAATGCACTTCCATTCGGGATCTGGTAGCGTTTGACTTTGCTGAGCAATGTAATTGTCACATGGCAGAAGCTAAACGGATCTACTGCATATTTTCCGGACTGAAGTTAAGCATATGCGTTACTTACATCAGAATACGGCCATTTGTATACACCAGTACGCAGAACTGCGAGAAAATAGCTCCTGAGAGGGTACCGGGGTGCTTCACGAAGCATTATATAGGGTGCTCCACCACAATGATTTATCATAAGCGATATCAAGAACGTGGCTGCGGAGGCTGATAGGCAACCTCCGCGGTCTATATCTTGTCCTCGACCATTCTGCGCAAGTTGACGTCAACAGGGTGCACTCAGACATCAGTGAGCGGTACCAATTCAGAGACCTAGCAACGAAGCTTTATACGGAAAATGCGCCCATATGGACGAATAAGGCTTTTTTGACTTATTTTGTCTATATACCGATGTGCCGTACGAAGACAAGGGAGAAAATCTTGAGAGCACATTGCAAAATACGGAACAAACTGTCAGAAAACAGTAAGCAGCTTAAAGCAAGCAAAAGATGTAACACATCGGTACCTTGCAGTGAACACTATAACACATGCGGAAAATAACGCGGGGAGTCAATGAAGTAGTTAGCGACGGTGTAAGCAACGTATGACGAAAGCGGAGATCATAAAAAGCACTTCCAGTCGTTTAATTTTCTTACTCGGTCGTACCTGTCCCGCAACCTCCACGTCCACATTGAATTTGAAAAAGAAGACAACCCGAGCGCTTTGTTTCGCTTTTTGGTCCCTCTTATCTTCTGTGCCTAATCGGCTATGTCCACCTCGCAGAGCCTATGTCCCCATCAAGGCTGTTAGCTTAGCTTCTTGGTTCATCTTTTCTTCGATTATTCAACCATGTCCACCTCGCCTCCACATGGGAGCCAAAGTGGGGAAACGAACCGAGCTGTTATCCCTACTCTTCTTAGTCATGTCACGGACTCGATATATGGAAGTTGCAAACACCATATATATTTCGATGTTTTTTATTTCGCTACAGAATGCCGAGAAAGAGAAAACAAATAGAGCCACTTTTCAAATACCATCTCCTAGTGTTCACTGATCAATGTTATGTAATAAGAATTAGCGTATACATAAACTATTGTTCACAAATTCATCTCCTCCCCTATGCTTCTTATCTTCCCCACTAATGTGTACATGATTATCCATTTTTCATGTAGTGTTTATATGCGCTATTCGTATAGATAAACCGCACGTCCATGGTGTGAGATGAATGCTCAGCCATGCCGATGCTGGTACCTGAAATTCCAAAAGAGTTAGTCAAACTAATAATATGCCATTTTACTAAATGCTTACTAGCATTTCGATGCTGATACATCGAATATTGATTATGCATAACATTTTCCGTTTAGGTCGATCATTTCTAATAGCAAAATGTACCACGGATGCTGTCTTTGAACGCTATGAAAGGAACATGAGCATTTAAAACTTCTACAGGGATCAGCTGTGCTTAAGAGACAAAATGTTAAAATATCCTGAAGAAATCCAAGCATGCACCCATACATGATGATTTGGCGGCGTCCGTATCCGGATTTGCCTGTCACTGTGACGTCCATGGGGACAGTCACAGGACGCCTGCGCCTACAGAGGGACCATGGGTGGCTTGCGCTGCACCACCCATAGTTCCATCCACACACGCCATATCCGGTGTAAACCCGAAGGAATAAGACCGGGAGGCATGCGGATGGGAGCCACGTTTCATCAACGGAGCCGGCCCACACTCCTTCAACAAGCAGAACGGAAGCATTCCGGCCTAATTGGGAAATCATACACACCAGACGTACACGAGGCGGTGGCTGGACCGTAGTCCGCTCCACATTGAATGCATGGAATCACTCTTTGAGCCTAGCACCGTCACGAGGACAATGCACTCCGTCCCCTCCAGCGACGACCAACTGTCTCTTGGAGCCAGTATGGACGAGGTAGTGGGTAATAGACAGGTAGGCACCTTGTCAACATTCACACCAGGCGCATACACACAGGGGAGCTCAAGCAACATCTACTTCTGAAATGCAAGATTACTCATCACGCAAGCAAACGTACCACACACGCCGCCTTATTGGCCTGGATTAGTAAATTGAATGGGAACATACTCATGGTGCTTCTATTCCGCATACAATTGTGCCTTCTCCAACACCTAAGAAACCGCCCTTTTGAGTAGTTCACGGAATTCGCATCGATCAAATTTGCCTTGGATTCGCAACACCTGAAATCAACATGAATTTGTCATAAACTCACCTTCTTCATGTTCTGGTAATATTATTTTCGGTTTGCTCGAATGTCGTTCTACTGCAGTAAGTAAACCGTACAAAAGCGGTATGAAGATCCTCGTGGAATTCATTCGGTATACATAAATACATAGATTGGTGTCATCTGTGTCCAATGGCAGTTCGAACGCGAGATATGTACATGCGTTTCTCCAAACTTAAGTGTGAGCTGTCCCAAACTGGATAGAGATACATTAGACACTATCATCAATGGTACGACAAACGTGTATGGGTTACGTTTGGAGGTTAGGCTAACAACCACTTTTGCAGGTATGAGAATAACTACCCCATACGAACTGTTGATATTTGCTTCTACATTTAGACGTGACTGCCTTAAATCTTGGGCATCCATATTTGAAGGGATCCGATGTGGCAATAGTAAAGTAACTGCTAGGTAGAATGATGACTATACTATTGGTACAGTGAAATTGTGTGCACTTGGGTGTTGCCCTCTACATGTACAGTCTGGTTTGAGTAGCGGATGTGGGACATCACACAGCATACGAATGCGATACAGTGTCCACTTCTGGCTCTCTGTGTCTCCGACCGGTTCGGTCAAATGCTGCCCGAGGTATATGCACCTACTCAAAGAACGATTGATGCGCAACCTTTGGTATTGACAAGTGACATCAACTAAGTCCCGCTGCTCACTGTCAAACATGCGACTTTCCAAACAGTGTTCACATTTATTGTGCAAATGTCCAAGTACTCAACCGTTTATACCTAACCACCTGTACTCTACTGTGGCCATAAGCTATTTGCTAACGGTCTATATCGTACATTCCAGGTGCAGCCCATTCGGTACTCATAAAACCATTGTCCCTATGCGCCGATTCATTTCCGATGTTATATAATGACACACTGACGTACCATTCCCGTTAGATGCAACCTTTTATTTAATCCATTCAAAAGATTGGCCATGTGCAATGCAAATTCTGGTAGGCGTCTCTGCACGTCTGCCTTCCATCCGGTTAATACGTGTGTTTTCATAGGCCCCCGGTAAATTCAGTATGGCTGAGGGATAACTGGAACTATAACTATACTCACTCTCTTCACTAGCCTTCGGAGTGGAACATGGAATGGCAATATCCTGATAATCGCTAGTCGGTTAATTGTCGGGATTGTTCACTTGACACAGTTTTTCCAGGGCAATTTCTCTTCGAATGCATAATCCAAAGTTGTCACACGAAGGACAATCGTTGAGCATTGTGTTACAAATGTCAAATTTGACATTTTATGCGTACTGTAAATGGCCAAGCGATGATAACCTTTCGATTCAAACGTATCCATCGAACTGGAAACATACACAATAATTTGCCACCCTAGCATTGATCCGTAGCAAGCACACAAATGGCTCGGAAATACCGCACTCACATCAATTACGAATGAGCTCATGGATGGACTGAACCATTATT